ACTGAAATCCAAGCCAAGCCAGCCTGAAGAGGCTGTCTGCCTCAATGCCTTTAGTCTTTGGTTTTGTTTTCCTATTATCACGGTATGGTTTGAGGTTGCTGAGGACCGGGAAATCTCGCATCACGGCTAGGAACAATTGATGGTATCCAAGCATTGAGCTCAGGCCAGTGGTATTGAGGTGGGACTGAAACACATCCTCCCTTATTTGAATGCGGCATGTTCTAGGAAGCTGGTTTACCCCACTGTAGCAAGCCGTAAGCTCCTGCGAAACAGTTCCTTTCATGTTATAAGGAAGAAGCTTCCGCAACGCAGATATACAAGCTTCAAGGTAAAGAAAGTCTTGGCTGAATGTATAAAAGGACAGGATTCTGCCCCTTGTTTGAAGGACTCGATTTAGTATATCTCGGCGGCCACTGGCAGAATTAAGAGCAGGAAACAGCTGTCCTTTCTCTATCATACTCTCAATGCGAGCCCTGTCATGAAGGGAGCAGTCTGGCATGAGTGTTTCAAGTAGCGCTACAGTTCCGGGATCCACTAACTCTGCGGAATAACCTTCCATAATGCTGCTCCATTGCTCGTAAAGTCTCTGTAAGTATTGCACAAGTTCCTGCGGACTGTTTAGGTGGGAAGACCACTCGGAGTCGGGGTTGGGGGTACGTACTTCTGGGCATTGGGCCGAGAGCCAGCGGTTCAGATATGAGAGCTTTATAGAGGCCCAGAGCCCGGTAAAAGGTAGGAGTTTGTTGAAAGCCCTGGTGAGCCGTTTGAAATCCTTCTCCATCCGTGCTAAGGCTCGCTGCGTGCCTTGACTCAGTCGACCTCGCCACTTGAGCTCTGCGTCTACGTCACCATGATTCTCATGATAACGAATTCTTCGATATATATCTCCGTGGCAGTATGCCTGAGCATTTGGATGTTCCTCTTCAATTATTTGTACAGAACTCTGTGGCAGATCTGCTATTGGTTAGCAGGCTGTAATCTCCTTCTCCAATGTTCTTACCATCACTATATAGATGAGCAATCCACCACCGATCAAGTGGTTGCTGTTCCGCGGCTAGAAGCCGATGTTTGCCTTGAATGACTGTGAGCTTGATGTCTTCCGGAAACTCCAGAAAACATGGTTCCTCAGATCCCAACAGGTCATTCTGAGATAGGTTCTGTCGCTGTAGAACCTGCTGTAAGATCTCATCCTTGATTAAAACTTTTACGAAGTTGTCCGGGTTATGACGGAGGCATCCCTCGGATTCAAATGTGTTCACAAGTGCCTTGACATGACTTTGGCGTATTGTGCGCACTCCTGGGATCAGCCTTTCAAAGCTTAAATGGCGCAAATCAACTTTCGCTACGCCACGATAATAATTGAGTCTGTCTGCCAAGGGCATTGCTTGATCAGATTAATTTTTTTTAATTTTCATGGATAGATAAGATTAGCAGTGTAGAAGATTATGCTCATGATCATTTTACTCACGGGATAAAATTAGAGCGCGTAAATTTTATTATGTACATAATATTATTGTACGCATAATATTTGACCATTATTATTTTATCGTCTTTGTAATATCAAGGAGTGTTAACTTTCTCCAAGAATAATATTATTTGATTCCGGCGTTAACATGGACTTAAATACTGAGCCTAGGTGGGACCTAGATGTGTATTTGTTCATTTGCGCATTATTACATATGCGCACTTGACCAATATTTCTTTCCTAGCTTAGCATCCTCTTCTATCGCCGTCTGGCTAATAAGCCTAAGCTGACTATATAAAAAATGGCATTCGCTTAGTTCTGGTTTATGTAACATGTAAAGCAGACACACTAATAGCTGGGCTATATCATATAGTGCATATACCAACTTCGCAAATACTTTATGGCTTATAGATACAGTCTCTGAATACTAGGTAATCACATAATCACCTGAGCATAAAGAATAGCTACCAAAACACATGCCAGATTAACAAACGTGATCAGTGTTGCAGTAGCGGTAGATTTAAAACTGGAGCCTTCTGGCGAAGGCGTCGTTATAGCAGTGGCTGTGCCATATGTTGGGTTAGGAGCAGTCAAGATCGGTAAAGTTGTTTTGGAAGATCCTGTGTCTAGGCTGGAACTAGTTGGGTATGCGCTCGTTAAAGGCTGTGAACTGTTTGCTATAGAGCTGCTTCCAATGTTGAATGAGCTAGCAATTGCTGAGCTAGTACGAGTTTTCACATATTCGTGAGAGGGTTGAGTTGGCAGTCGCGGCATGTTGAGAATGAATACCATATCCGGCAAACATTGGTCCATGTCTAGGGAGTCGCAATAGAATACCTGAGGTTCTTCGTCTCTCACAAGAAAGTTTTCTCTAGCTTCAACGAGGACTGGTTCGGAACTTCCACAAGGGTATCGAGAGGACCGTAGGTCGCAAGAGCCGTCCTGTGTCTGGAAGCTAATAAAATCTCCCACACGGGCATTTAGTCGACTAGGCTGGAAGCGAGGCACACTGTCATCTACTTTTACGTGGAATGCCCGCTGTCCCACGACTGCAGACTGAGTAGGGGTGACGGATACCACGGTAGCAGCGGTCTGTGCGAAGACCAGGTGGGTGACGAGAATAAGGCCTATAATAGAAATCATTTTGGTGCTTGTTGATTATTTTAAATCAGGATGGACAGCCGTTATATAATACTCAAACTGCCCAATGTCGCCTTTGCTCACTTGTGACTTTGAGCCTTCTAACTTATCTGGCCCGGCGGCAAGAATTTAGCGCCAGGACTACTATAAATCCTCGAATAGCAAACATTCAGAGGCCAAATCAAAGAATGTCTACTCCCGCAAATAGAAAACGGGCAACAGAGCGGGCCGCGTGCCGTCAGGCATTATCTAACCACCTAAGTAAGTGTCCAGTTGTGGCTCTGCCTCTTTATCACTAACATAGAAGGAATCACACTTTCTCTTATGGTAAGCCCGGCAGAGGTACGGCTACATCCCGTTGTATGTGACCTCTACCGATGGCATTACCATGAATGCTACGCTCGCATATTTGAAAAGAACCTCAGCGATCTCTCTACAAAGGACTATATTGAGATTAGAGAGGCATTAAGGGATGGCCATATCTGGGCAACTAGACCTCTCTATGAAATCACGCCTATTGAACCATCACAAAATACTACGGAGCGCAACCTTCTCGAACAATTAGCTAAAGTTGAAGAGGAAAAGAACTTCTTACAAAACGAAAACGACCGACTCAAAAGCCTCCTTCGTCATCATATCAAGCAGTCACAAACAATGGCCTATTCAGCTGCTGTCATCATGAAGCGGCTTGAGAGTACGTGGAATGGCGATCATAAAATAGAATAGTCATTTCGCTTGGTATGTACCACGCAGCTATGGCCCAGGTACGAGCTGGGAACATGCCATTCCTAGCGCCCTCTGGTCACCTCTATGATGCTACGGCCCGCTACTTCAAGAAGTAGTTTCCCGTTACTGCTAGTGGTCTCCCTCTAGCAGCCGACCGTGTCTTGCAGAGGCCATCATTAGCAGCACCCAGCCGGCATGTTGCTTGTGTAGTAGGCCTCTACTAACCTAGCTCAGTTCCCACCATATGCTTTTATACTCTAAAGCGGTGCGCTGTGTCTGTCCAGGTGAGAAGTGGTTCGGTCTCGGTGTAGGCCTTGCCTTTAACACATCCGGCAACCACTATCCTGTCAGGCTTAACAACTTCCATTACTCCAGAGAGCACTTAGGCTTCGTTCTATCCCTCGCTGAGGCAGGCTGCATTGTCTCTTAATATCTCTTTGTTTGGTTCCTGCCTCAATCCCAGAGCTAGCTGAACTCGAGGGTGCCCTGTCACTCCGCCAGAACAGCTTCGTGTCGGGTGGTTTTCGTATCCCAGTATCCCTCTAGCGATCAATCTGGCTCCTCGTAGAGCTCCCAGGCACCCTTTCAATAGATATTTGAAAGGCTTCTCGCATTTGCCTCGACTAGTTTTTCAAAAAGTCGCCCCACGAGTGTAGGGGGGATTTGCTTAACAAAATATGCCAAGAAAACGCGTCGTGTCGCGTCGCGCGACGTGTCCGCAAGGCAACTATGTTCCTACCCCTTTTTTCCCCAAGGCCGGGGGAGCGCAGCGGGGGAAGCGCAGATCGAAAAGGGAGAGAAGTTGAAAAGGGAGAGAAGTTCGGCTGGGGTATGTACAGTACCTTCCGTTGTTTCACCTGATCGGTTATGTGGTTCGTTGCCCTGCCAAGCAAGATGGCCATTATGTAAGATGGCCTTTCATTTGACTGGTTCGCGCGTCCCCAACAAAACATTCACTTCTACCCCAACGCGTTCCAACGGGCAATCCTGCGCGTCACTGACCAGGCATGTCATCGCACATTTTCGTTCAACGTTCGAAACCTTCAAGATGAGGTCGTCTATCATGTGAATATTCCCTTCTAGTTCCCCCGACCCCCGTCCCTCGGCCCGCCTCGTCCTCAGATTGAACTGATGCATGTCCTCAAACGAGGCAGAGCAAAGCCGGTGAGCAAAGGATGCTGTTCCAAGGGACTGGGACAGCCGGACGGCCAGGAAGGGGCATAACGGCGGTGGACCGCGTTTGACCAGAGCTCCAAGTTCAGACACCTTTCAATATTGCGCTTGTGAGCTGTTTCCCACCCCGGGCTGTAATTGCTTTCCAGATCAGTGACTGACGCTCTGAATTGACCGCAGCTACACGAGAGACTGTCAACCGTGAGGCTGGCGATCGGATGGCATCACCTCCAGCAACCCCGTGCTTCGCAGGCCCTGTGAGAATTATCCGACGCGCTTTCAGGTCGCATGATTGCCCAATTTGTGGCAGCCCTCTCGACATCCGCTGGAGATCGTTATAAATGCCCTGAACTCTGGTACTCGGGTGCTAGGTACCACGCGCCGACCCAACGGGCTGTGGCACCGAGCTTTCGTCCGCGCGAAGTGTTTGCGCGAACGGGGATGGACCGTTTGCACTCAGACATGGGTAGCCACTATCTTAATCTTCCCACATAAAATGACCTCTAGTCGACAGTCTGGACCGTTGGTTGCATCCACTCTCGCACCGCAATCGCAACATGAACTGGCGAGACGGGATTTGGTTATGGGTCTTGTGCAAGCTTGGAGTACATGCTTCTCTGGCCTCGAGGTATGCCCGCTTTCTGGAACAGAGTACCGAGCACTTGCTGACAATCAGCGTGGCGTGCCCAGTGTCCCGGACCAAGAGGTCCCTATCATCCACCGAAGCGTCACATACGTGTCACGGGTCCCTGATTCCAGGGTCGGCTTGGCCCATCTATGCTGCCGCCAACCAATGAATGCTCAGCAGATGTGCCGGAAGCCCAAAAGTCCACCCCGTCCACAACGGAACTGTCGGATCGATACCCTTCTCCTAGATGCCGAGTATGTGTTGGCATCGGCTGCTCGAGAAGGGAATTTGGACCAAGTGCAACGGTTACTGGATTTGGGCGCCAACCACTCTCCAAGAGACTTGGCTGATGGGACGCCACTGATGGGAGCGGCGCGGGAAGGCCATGAACCGATCGTATCTCTTCTACTCCAGCAAGGAGCTTCTGTATTCGACCGCGATCGAGCCAACCGAACGACTCTTCATTGGGCTGCTGAAAGAGGGCATGTTGAAGTTGCGGAAGAACTACTTGACAACGGAGCCGACCTGTCGGCCGTCGATCGGAAGGGATCTACCCCGTTACATTTAGGCGCGGCGAACCGGTTCCCAGCCATGGTATCACTTCTTCTAGAACGAGGAGCGTCCACATCTGCGAAGGATGGGGACGCAAAAACACCTCTCCATGTAGCAGCTGAAGTGGGGGTAACGAAGACGGTCATGATTATCATCCAGAAGGGCGCAGATGTGTTGTCAGTGGATGAACAAGGTCGCACTCCTTTGCATTGTGCGGTTTAGCTGGGACATGCGGCCGTGACCAAGAGCCTGCTTGATGGAGGCGCCGACATATCTGTGATGGATACTGGCCGTACGGCACGAGACATCGCTCGGGAGCGGGAGGCCGACCGCATTCAACGAGTGCTCGACGGTGTACAAGTAGAATTATGTTACGAGCCTTCTTCCGTGGGCAATGCGGGAAAAAGATTCTTACTCGACTCTTCTCTTCAGACTAGGAAAAGAGAGATATACCGTCAGTAGATGCAACATCATCCAGACACCGACAGGGGCATGGAACGTACTCCCAGAGCACCGAAGCCAAGGCTGGTATATTTTGAGGGTCAATGTCTGCTTCCCACTCGCCGTCGACGCTCTCGGTACCTTCCATGTCGAGGAGATCGCTTGCTCCTGAATCCTCGCGCCGCCGGTCCACAGTGCCGGGGGTAGTGTGAGACTCACGACCTTTTGTGCTGGGAGGTGTCTGCGAAGTGTGCTTTGCCTTGATCAGCTCCCGGCGAAGCGCGTCCAACCGCGAGACAGGGCTTGTCGGTTCTCCTGGGTTTAAAGTGCTGATAGTAGCCATGAGTATTGAATCGTGACCGACCGAACCTGAGACAGAAGATTGTACTGGCGTAACATCCGATGGAGGTGCTCCTATGCCCGAGCTTTATAGGGCCAGATCCCAGCGGGTGAAAAGTGCTGGGCACTCTTCCGAAAGAACAGACTCTAAATGGATAACGCTTTCTGGGTCTTATTGGATGTCTTCGTTCTTTGCTCTACTTATCAAGCAGCCGGCGCTTCATCTCCTAGAGGATTGGCTCGCTTAATATCGTCGAACTTCGGGTGCCACGTGGTACTTTGGTTGAACACGAAGAAGTACTCATTCCATAGAATATTCTCTTGTCGAAGATCCTGATGGCGGACACCTAAAGAATGTATCCCCTTTAGCGACCGTTTAATCGCAGGAAGGACAGACTTCTTGGGCTTCAAATGGCTCAAATCGTCACCACCCCAACCCATAAGGAGCATGTGGCGTATATCTCCAGCGCCATGCAGGAAGTAGACATTGGCCAGGTCGATCGCTCCTAAAAAAAACTGGAATTGCCGACCCTTGTGCGCGCTGAAGAATCCGGTAAATATCCGCCCCGCGTGACACGTTGGGTGGTCCATCTGTGCGAGTGGGCGAGCGCCCCAGCTGGGTTTTCAGGCTTTCAAGGCCCGTTATCTGTTACATCAAGGCGGCTCGTTCATTCTCCACGCATTGCCTTGTTTGCTGCAAATCACATGCACGGGCCTAAAGACTGATTACTAAAAATAATCTCCTGAAAGAACCGCTCTGACCTTGTTCGATCACGAATTATTGGAACTAGTCATCTCATTTGCTCCGCCAAGCAGCGACCAGCGATCAGCGGGCCTGCCGTTTGGCACGGCCTGATGTGAAGCAGGAATGTTTGTAAAAAGTCCTGCCGGAGAGTCAGTTCCTCGGTTACTATCATGACTTAGATGTTCTCGTTGACTTTATTGTTTCCACCGCCAGACCTCGTTTGGGGCCCGATCCTGTTATACATCTTCTCATGCCCACAATTAGCCAACTTGCTATTACCGAGTCACTTACCTTCCCGGAGGAGATCGGTCCATTCGCATTCATGGGCAACTTGGCGAGAGTGGGCTTCCCATGGTCTATCTCTGTACGCCCCTTGACCGCGACCACCAAAACCTCAAGAATATCGGCTTGCTCCGGCCCCGGCAGCGCTGGATTCTCCACCAGCGAATTGGGTTATGTCTACCCGCCATTAGGGAGTGGCTGTCAATGAAATTGAATGGCGTCACTGCGTTAGGGCTATGATTTTGTTTTCTTCTGGGGGCCTAGATGCAACGAGCCTTTGGCCATCACGCGGGAATCTGGCGACACATACTCACAAGATATTGTACCGAGGCTGGATCAGAAGTCAATAGAGAAACCGTCCGAGGTTTCGCCGGAGTCTCCACCCCCCCGCCTTGCGTCCTCCTCTTCGCGCCGGTCGGGCCGCCAACCCCAGACTTGGCGAGCGTCCGGCCCGAATCCGACCTCGTTCGAGACTTCGACTTCACTTCTCTCGATACAAATGTCTCCCCTCTCTCATCGGATCATCTGCTTCGTATCTCTCCTCAAAACCCCGTCGCATATGAGCACAACAAAATGACTCCTCCAGCCCCCGAGTCTAAGCGCGAGGTTACAACGGTGGAGGACAATACCCTGAAGACCCATGTCGAAGACATTGGCTACCTAGTCAACCAGGAGCTGCACGAGGAGACAGTGCGGCAGGCGTTTACGCGCTACCCCAAGCGGACCTTCTGGATCATCTACACGGTCTGGGTTTTGGTCATCAGTGGGTTCGACAGCACTGCCAGCTCCGCCGTTATTGGCATCCCCCGCTTCCGCATGGACTACGGTTCCGAGTACAGGGGCAACTACGTCCTCCCGGCCCAGTGGCAGGCCGCCTTTTCTGGTGGCCCCGCCGCTGGTGGTGTCCTTTCCGCCGTGGGCGCTTCGTTGCTGTCTGATCGTATTGGCCGCAAATACATCTTTCTCATCGGCTTGATCTTTATCTTCGTTGGCATCACCCTCGAAACAGTCAGCAATGGCTCGTGTGCCGTATTCTTCGGCGGCAAGTTCCTAGCTGGAATGGCCACCGGATGCTTCGTCACCACCAGCATGACATATGTGGCCGAATTTTCCCCAGTCGCCATCCGTGGCATCGTCTCTGCCGCTGCTCCCATTTCGGGCAGCGCAAGCCAGCTCGTCGTCGCTTTAATCCAGAATGGCTATGGGGATCTGCCAAATTCCTGGGCCTACAAATCACTTTTCATGTCTCAATATGCTGTCACCTTCACGGCTCTGATCTTCTGGCCGTTTTTGCCCGAGTAGGTCCCCCTTCCTTCTTTCAATTCCTCTTGACGGTAGCTGACTATGCCGACTCTTCAGATCGCCATGGTATCTTGTCCGCCGCGGCAAGGAGGACCAGGCAGCCAAGACGTATCGTAGCTTCGGCCTACCGGAGACGGAGATTGAAAAGGCCATTGCTAATATCAAATTGACCGAGGAGAGGAACAAGGCTGAGACGGAAGGAGTCAGCTACGCCGAGTGCTTCCGCAAATCCAACCTCCGCCGCACGATCCTGGCCATTGGGCCCTTTACCATTCAGGCCTTTTGTGGTGTCCTATTCATTGTCGGCTACATGGTCTACTACATCCAGCTCGCCGGGTACAGCACTGCGATGAGCTACCGACTCAACATCACCGCCCAGGTCATCGCCTGCACGGGTAACTTTTGCTCTTGGTTTCTGATTGACCGTGTCGGCCGCCGTAACCTCATGCTTTGTGGCTTGGGACTCCTGTGCGTCATGCTCTGGATCACCGGCGGGCTCGCAGTGGCCGCCACCCCGGGGACTGTCAAAGGCACGGTCGCCCTGATTCTTCTCTATTCAGGTGTTTACAATGCCACCATCGGTGCTGCCTCGTACACGATGCTGGCCGAAATTGCCACCCCACGTCTGAGGAGCAAAACGGTCTCGATTGCGGTTGTTTCACAAAGCTCGTGGGATGTAAGTTTCCCTCCCCCTTTCCATCCCAGCAGAAATGGCTGATTGGATCCTCTTAGATCATGTGGGCTTTCGTCATGCCGTATATTTTCAACCCCGACAAGGGCAATCTGCAGGCAAAGACTACCTTTATCTTTGGCGGATTCGCCATCATCTGCTGGACCTATCTCTACATCTGTCATCCTGAAACCAAGGGCCGCAGCTACCAGGAGTTGGATGAGATGTTCACCAAGGCCGTTTCCGCCAAGCAGTTCCGCAACTATGTTACTGAGACCGAGAAGAGGGGGGCAGAGGCGAAGCGACAAGCCGATGAGTCCAACCTGACTGTTTAGGCCGGGCCTCCTTGCTGTACGGACGGATATGTTCACTCGGGTTGCCACTTGGTGCTGAATGTGAGAGAAGGTAGTAGCGCGTTGGGGTACGGGGTTGACACTGACAAAGGTTGGTATGAGTCCATTTTATGCTAGATAGTTGCCAATCATAAAGGTTATGGTTTATAAGATAATTAGCCCCATAGCGACCGATGTCGCTCCTTTCTAAACGCGTTGCGTAGTATAGTTGATAGTTGGAGTAGGGAGCCATGAGCCAGAACAAAACCACACCAAACAACCTCGTTGATATGCATGAAATCAAACAAGCTATGCCAACAGGACACTGTGTAAAAGCTCTTTGTAATTAAAATAGAGATAGAATATATATTGAAATGACCAAGCGCAGCTAAAGGGCAGATTATGGTATCTTGCTGTGATAACCTTCAGACGGGCTATTGCTCCATCCCTCTACTATTTGCTTTGGGTACTCTCTCACTAATTCTTCATGTGGTTTGTTTAGACTCACTATCATAGCAGATTTGCGTGCTTGGCTAAGAACCTGAAACCCTCCTTGATAGCTTCAAACGCCGGATCATCTCGATGCACCTTTTCATCAAACGCGTGGTCCGCGTCGTCCACGAGCCTCAATACTGTCTCCACCTCGCACTGTCGCAACGCATAATGCGACTTTTCGGTCAGTTGGAATGGAATCAGCTTGTCGGCCGTACCGTGGATGAAGAAGACAGGCGGGAATCCTGGCTTGAAATACGTCGATGGGTCCAACCGCGTGTAGTCGCCCGGACGGATGATGTGCTGTAACAGCGTTCCGTTGGCGAGGGCCGAGGCGAGCCATGCAATCCGAGGCCGTCTAAAATCAGGGCCAGTTCCCTGACCCGGAAGGTCGGATTGCGCGAGAATGGAGGTTGATGGTGGTGGCACTTCCAGCCATATCTGGTCCAGGAGCTCCTTGGGGAAGTTCAACCTCGGCATCTTCGGATTAGGGCGATGCCAAACATCGTCAGACAGATACTTGGCCCCGTAAAAGTCCAGGATAGCGACGGGGGACTGGGTGTTTTGGGCCTGATGTAAAGGGTTCCACGTTATACGCGAGCGATATGACTATCCGGGAGGTTTGGTCTTACCATCATCAGAGCGAGATAGCCTCCGGCCGAGTGGCCCAATGCGACTATCCGTCCCGGGTCGGCTGCAAATCCCAATTCTCTCTCCAGCAGACCCGGCAGGTTCGATTTGCACCAGGTATAGCAGTCATTACAATCTGCAAGTGGACCGTCGGCGAGGGAGATGGTCGGGCACAGCCGGTAGTTGACAGAGACGACGACGAAGCCGAGGGCGACCAGCTCCTCTAGCTGGTTGACCGGAATACACTCCTTCCCTCCGGCTGTGAACCCCCCTCCGTGGATCACGAGAGCTGGTCCGGATTAGACGAGCGCCGCCTGTGTGTCGGGGGTGGGGGCTCCGGGCTTACCGATCGGGGCCGGGGAGGCCGGGCTGCTACTCCGGGGGCAGTAGTACACATCAGCCTCGAGGCATTGGCCCAATTCGACTGTCTTGTAGGTGTATGTCGTCTTGTTCATCATGGCTGAGGCACACGTCGGGAGCTTGTCAGCGAGGTACCACCAATCTTTATCATTTATCTTCCTCCGGGCCGGACGCCCCCTCTCACGGGCCGGATTCCGCGTGGCATGAGCAGCATTTGTGGCCCTCTTCCCGCTCGTTCTTTGGCCCCTGCAGAGCACAACATCCAACATGGCGCATCTCGTCGAGCTTCAGAACGTCCGCTTTGAGCACCACCGCACAGGGCAGGCGCTGGGCATTGGGAGTTGCTCCCCGCGCATTTCCTGGCATTACACCGCGCACAGCCCCGACTGTCGCGACTGGCTGCAAACGGCATATGAGATCGAAATCACCCTCGGCGGTCACACACGCGTGTACCGCGTCGAGAGCTCAGAATCTGTCTTGGTCCCTTGGCCAGCTAATCCTCTTTTGTCTCGCCAAATCGCTCTCGTCCGCGTCAGGGGTTACGACAGCATCTCTACGCCCACCGCATGGTCGGCGGCTGCAACCGTCGAGGCTGGGCTTCTTCAGCTCTCAGACTGGAGTTGCCAATTCATCACTAGCAACGAGCCCGCGGATCTGGACACGCCTCGTCTGCCCCTGCTCTTCCAGCACGAGTTTGTCCTCTCCCCCGCCTTGGTCTCGTCCGTCGCGCGTGCGAGGGTTTACGCGACTGCACACGGTCTGTATGACCTCTCGATCAACACGACTCGCGTTGGAGACCAGCTCCTTGCGCCCGGTTGGACCGAGTACGATGCGCGACTCGAGTATCAGACGTACGATGTATCCTCGCTCCTCCAGCCGGGTTTCAACACCATTGCCATCGAAGCCGCCGAAGGCTGGTTCTCCGGTCGCATTGGATACACCGGGGGCGAACGCAATATCTGGGGCACAGAACTGGCGGTCCTAGCAATGCTCATCGTCGACTATACAGACGGGCAGAGCGAAGTATTGGTCAAGACCGGCAACGGGTGGTTTTGGACCAGGAGCGCCACAAGGAGTGCGGAAATCTACGACGGCGAGCACTTTGATGCGCAATATGATCCGGTCCATGATGGCCTCTGGAAGCCTGTCTCAACACTGGCTCTTGATCGCCCCGACATCCTCGCGGCACCTCTGGGCCCACCGATCCGCGCGACCGAGCAGGTAGCAGTGCGCAAGCTCATCACCAGCCCGACCAGGAAGATTATTCTAGATTTTGGACAGAACCTCGTTGGGTATATTCGTGTTTCGGTATCCGACGACTCTTTGCTCGAGGGCAAAACCATCACCCTCCGCCACGCTGAAGTCCTCGACCAGGGTGAAATTGCGACCAGGCCTCTTCGCTTTGCGAAAGCCACCGACAAGCTGACATTGTCCGGGAAACCGCTGGAGTGGACTCCCAAGTTCACCTTTCATGGGTTCCGGTATGCGCAGGTCGACGGGCTGGATGACTGGTCGTCGATCACTTTCACGGCGATTGTGATTCACTCTGACATGGCACGCACGGGCTGGTTCAAATGCTCAAACCCTCTAATCAACCAGCTGCACTCGAACATTGTCTGGTCGATGCGTGGTAACTTTGTGGGTCTCCCCACCGATTGTCCCCAGCGGGACGAGCGACTCGGGTACACGGGCGATCTTCAGGTCTTTGCCCGGACAGGAAATTTCCTCTACGATACATGCGGAGTTTTGAGCACCTGGTTGCAAGGGGTGGCAGCAGACCAGGCCCGAGATGGAAAGGGCGTTCCCCCCATGTTCTCGCCCAACGTGCACCGCAAGAAGCCCAACTTCCGAGCAGCGGTCTGGGGAGACTGCACCGTCATAGCCCCATGGGAGCTGTACCAGTCCTTCGGCGATGTGGACCTTCTTCGCACCCAGTATCAAAGTATGAGCGATTGGGTGGAGAAGGGGATCACGCGAGACGAGCGCGGTCTGTGGGATCCCAAGTGCACCTTCCAGCTGGGCGACTGGCTGGATCCCTACGCGCCTCCAAAAGAGCCAGCGAGGGCTGCCACCGATCCCCAGCTCGTGGCCGATGCATACCTGGTTCGCGTTACGGACTTGATGGCGCAGATATCCAAAGCCCTTGGCAGTCCTGATGCCACAGACCGGTATCTCCAACGAGCCTCGAGTCTCAGAAAGGCATTTCAGGAGGAGTACGTGACCCCAAATGGCCGCCTGGCTTCCGACTCCCAAACAGCGTTTGCCCTCGCCATCTACTTTGACCTCTTGCCATCGGCCAGAGCACGCGAGGTTGCGGCCAATCGGCTCGCCTACCGGATCAGATACCATGATCGATTCAAGATCGGAACCGGATTTGCCGGCACCCCCATCATCGGGCATGCCCTCACCCAGTGCGGAAAGTCGCACATCTTCTACCGGATGTTGATGCACAAGAAGAATCCGAGTTGGCTCTATCCGGTGACGATGGGAGCTACGACCATCTGGGAACGGTGGGATAGTATGCTGCCAGACGGAAGTATCAACGAGGGCGAAATGACGAGCTTCAACCATTACGCGCTGGGGGCAGTGGGCGACTGGCTGCACAGGACTGTTGGTGGGCTTTACGCGCTTGAACCGGGCTGGAAACGGTTCGCTGTGAGTCCAGTGCCCGGTGGGGGGTTGCAGTTTGCCGAGACCCAGCACAAGAGTCCATACGGTCGGATCGAGTTCGACTGGAAGCTCGCAGGAAATGGCCGTCAGCTCAAAGCGACGCTGCTGGTGCCGCCAAACACGGTTGCAGAGGTGCGCCTCCCAGGACAGTTGGTGCAAGAGGTGGGATCCGGACGGTATGAGTATGAGGTGGCCATTGAGCCCGGTGACTGGCCTCCATTGCCCATATATCCCCCGTACATGCCCCATGACGATGATAAGCCGTAAGATATATCTATATATATATACCTTTGCGATAAACTTGCAATGACTATGTTTCCTCGTTCCAAGATAGACAGACATCAATATATATCGTCGTCCACACTGGATATCGTATTGCTTTAAAGTCTGAGATATTTGCGACTCTCGAACCAATGGAATAGGTTGTCAACCCCCTCACATCGCAGAGTTCTGGCGCCTGATTCTTCCTACGGTTGCACAGTAATTCGCCATGGACCTACGCAGCGATCCTCCATTGCAGATCGAAAGTGGACCTGATCGGGCCGGAGTGAGGATACCGGGCCGGACTGCTGGAATTGCAAGTGATAAATGCACACGCACGGCCTTCAAGTGGCATGATGTGCGCGAGTCTTACCACAATGGCTATCGACAAGCTGAGTTTAGCGCAGGCAGCCAGCCTGCTAGCGGGCAAAGACCTCTGGCACACTCAGGCGATCCCCAGCCACAACATTCCTTCCCTCCGTGTGCGTTGTCCCATTCCATCTCTACCCCTGCTAATTATCCCGAAACACAGCTCTCAGACGGGCCGAATGGAATAAGAGGGTAGACAAGACTGCCATCCTGCGAGTACAAAGAAGTACTAATCTTCCTAGCTCCCGGACGTTCAATGGCAGCAAGACGGGCTGTTTCCCCTGCGCCTCAGCCCTGGCCGCATCGTGGGATGTCAATCTCTTGCGCGAAATTGGCAGTGAGATGGGCCGACAGGCCAAAGCCAAAGGCGTTCAGTCAGTGCACTATCCATCAATCGCCTGAAGCTCACCGGACTGACCCCACCATCAAGCCTCGTGCTAGCACCCACAGTCAATATCCATCGTTCTCCGCTTGGTGGGCGAAACTTCGAGGCCTTTTCAGAAGATCCCTTGCTGTCGGGTTACCTGGCCTCCAATCTAATCTCTGGAATGCAAGAACAGGGCGTCGGCGCAACTGTCAAGCATTTTGTGTGTAATGATGTCGAAACCGATCGTACCAAAGTGGATGTCATAGTGCAGGAGAGGTAAGAATTAGCGAGAGAGGGTCGACGGTCCGCTTTTGACTAATCCCTCACTGCTCAGAGCGCTGCGAGAAATTTATCTGAAGCCGTTTGAGATCGTCATCCGCGAGGCTAAGCCATGGGCTGTCATGGCCTCGTACAACAAGGTCAACGGGCTTCACGTCAGCGAAAGCAAGCACCTCCTCGACGACATACTCCGGAAGGAATGGGGCTTTGATGGTGTAATCATGTAAGACACCTTTCACTGAGGGTGAGCGATGCTAATGCGTCCAAGTTCGGACTGGTGGGGATCGTATTCGACCTCGGAATCTCTGAATGCAACGCTCGATATTGAGATGCCTGGCGAGCCCATCTGGAGGGGAGCGAGTCGCATCACACGCGCTGTCGGATGCGGCAAGGTCAGTGAAGAGACGGTACGCGCAAGTGCAAAGCGTGTCCTGGACCTCGTCAACAGGGCAATCGAGTCCGGCACCCCAGAGAATGCCCCCCAAGAGGAAGCCGACTCTCCCGCCTATCGGGAGCTGAACAGGAGAGCAGCGGCCTCTTCCGTGGTGCTGCTCAAGAATGAGAAGAGTATCCTGCCTCTGCAGTTGAGTAACCGACCCAGGATCGCCGTCATCGGACCAAATGCCATCAAAAACGTGTCCAGCGGTGGGGGGTCTGCGAGTGTGAATGCATATCACTACGTCTCCGCTCTTGACGGGATCAAGGCCGGGGTCGCGAGTAACGCTTCAGTATCGTTTGCGCACGGATGCTACTCGGATGAAATGCTGCCCCTGATGAAGACAGTCACTGTGTCCGGAGCTGAGGGACTCGACATTGATCTATTCCCCCACCCCTTTGACTTTGACGCCCAACCACTCCCCTCTCCTGCAGCCACGGTCACCAGTGAGACCTCGAGAATGTTCTTCTTCGACTGCCTGCCTCCGGTGGCGCTCCCAATTACGTGGGCGCTTTGCGAAGGCATCTTTGAGCCCAAGGTGACTGGCGAATATGACTTTGGAGTCGCAACCACCGGTCGAGCAAAGCTGTTTGTTGAGGGTCAGCTGGTTGTGGACAACTGGTCAGAGCAAAAGGCGTCACGCGCCTTCTTTGGTGAGAAAGAACATCCCCACGCATTTGCAGCTGTACTGACACTACAGGAATGGGAACCCCCGAGGTAAAAGGGCGGATGGCAATGACCGGCGGTCAGCGGTACAAAGTGTCTATCCAGTATTCGTGCATCAGCGCATTGCCCGATCGCAAGCCAGGGCACCTGGGAGGAGGCATTCTGCGTATTGGTGCTCGGCTGGCTGTCGACAAGGCAGACCTTCTCGCAGAAGCGGTGCAGCTGGCTTCAGCCGCGGACGTAGTCATCCTTTGTCTGGGGACAGACTCGGAGAGAGAGTCAGAAGGCTTCGACCGGACAACAATGAGGTTCGTCCTGGCGCGCCTTTTTATGACTGTGATGCTAATCATGTAGTCTGCCCGAAGAACAAGACGAGCTGGCCAATGCTGTGCTGGAAGCATCGGATCAAGTGGTTGTCGTCAACTTTTCTGGGAGTCCGGTTGCGATGCCATGGGCGCCAAAGGCAACAACCATTGTCCAGGCCTGGTTTCTCGGAAGCGAACTCGGAAACGGGTTAGTTGACATCCTGCTGGGCAATGTCAACCCCAGTGGGAAGCTTCCAGTTTCGTTCCCAGTCACCCTAGAGCAGAATCCTTCCTATGCCAATTTCCCCGGCCAGAATGCAGTCATCCGGTATGAAGAGGGGCTGTTTGTTGGGTACCGGCACTATACTACGCAGGGGATGCTGGCTCTTTTCCCCTTTGGCCATGGGCTCTCATACACCACGTTCGAGTATCGTGACCTGGTCGTCTCTAGTCAAAGGTTTACGCCTCAGAAGACCAGCATTGTCTTCACCATCGTGAATTCCGGTGCCTTGCCAGGGGATGCGGTGGTGCAGTTATATATCTCCCCCATTTCGTCGACAGTGGTCCGCCCCGTGAGCGAGTTGAAGGGCTTCTTGAAGCTCCATAATCTTCTACCCGGCGAAGCACGGTCTAGCGAGCTGTCACTCCAGCCTGAGCACCTTGCCTACTGGGATGATAGCCACCACTCGTGGGTAATTGAGAGCGGCCGCTACAGACTCTCGCTAGGCCATTCCAGCGTCAGCATGGCGATTGAGACAGAGATCCTAGTGGAGGAGCGAGTCGAGTTGCGTGGCAACAGCCTTGACATGCTCTCCGATATCCGGCCAAGATACTAGGTAGCTCTGTATTGGTAAAGCCAACAGTTATTAGAAAATACCCCACATTATGTACTCGGCGTGCCCAAAATGAATTATCACAAGCCGACTCCATATTCACCATCCCGCATAAACCATATATTAAAAAAAAGGATGAAAGGATAACTATTACCCCGGCGATGCAACCTTTACGTCACTGGGACCCAAGTAGTGCTGACAGAGGGCGACTGGGAGGTGGTTTATCGCATCACTTTGGTCCAGAGTGGCCATGACCATTGAGATACACTGCTCTGCTCCATGCAAGTTGAAAGCCAGAGTTTCCCGCTTCTGATTATTCTGCTCAGAACTGTCTGGGCAAGCATCGAGTAAACTGATCTCGCGATGGTACAACAGGATTCGTCCAGAACTGCTACAGTCAGTGGCACGCCTCGGGCAGAGCTGATCGACATACAGGTGGTAGACTGAAAGAAGATGGATGTAGACTTGGGAAAAGGGATGGTTGCAGCCTACACTGCCAAACATGTGGCTGATGGCTGTCTTGCTCTCCATTTCCCAAATGGCGAGGTCGGACTTGAGACAGTCGATCCTCAAGTTGAGCCACTGGCCCCAGCTGACAGTGTCGCCCTCGAGCGGAATCTGCTCATAGCCGTATGTGAGCGATATCACTCGAGCAAGCAGCGCGGAGAGTTGACAGTTCATGTGGAAGAGCTGGGCCAGGACCTTGGTGATCGATGGGTCGTAGACGGTCGACGACTCGAGATCCTCCATGACGCTGTGGCTCAGTGTCACTGGAACCACCTTTAATGGGTCCCGGAGACTGAGCGCCACAACGCAGTCCCGCAGACATATTGAGGTCCAGAGCCGCTTGCGGGTTTTGACCTCTGTCGTCTCCTTGCCCACTTCCAGGTCTGCGCGGTGGGCCTGGATTGTCATGGCGCTCTGAATGGCGGCGGAGAGCCACTGGCTGCCAGCGCGACAGTCTACGGGTGAATCATAGTAGGAGAGCAAGACAGCACCCTGTGCCTTTGGGAGATGCCGGTGCTCTGCGTTGAGATAAAACAGAAGCTGTATAATGGTCACCAGGGGAGCAAACGTGTTTGGTGGAGGATTGCTACCTTTGCTCGGCGATAGAATGTCTCTTGTGCGTGCACGACGTCATTGTAGCCCGCGTCCTGAAGTGCGAGAGGATCAATAAACTAGAAGGAAGTATCAGCAAAGGGGGCGAGGGTGACGGTTGGCTGCAAGGGGATTCCTCACGCTGCAACTCCGAAAAAACAGCGCCTGGAGAAAGAAGAGACTAAGCGTCTCTGACCGCCGCTCCCGACCGGAGAAGCTGGAATAATAGATCTGGCAAAAGGCAGTCTCTCCCACAAGAGGAAGGGTCGGATGCACGTAGGAAAAGTATGCGTTGATAAGGAGGTTCATGATGCGACGAACGGGGACGTGCAAGCAGCCCTTCATCTCGAGAAACATGACATCTTCGGGCGGGAGGCTGCAGAGGTCTGGCCGCTCGATAAAGGGGAATGCCGAGAAGAGAATGTCAGACCCGAAGACCAGCCCGGGATGCCGTCTATCTACCGCTGGGCGATGGTAGACACTGTGGTCATCGCGAGGACTGTTGCTGGGAAGAGGGCTTTGAGACTCAACTTGAACGATCGGTTTATGAGATCTCGACTCCCGTTAGGATTGGCAGGGATGCAGTTGCCCTGGAAAAAACTCACCGTGGTGTCCTTTGCTTGAGGCGTAGCGTGCACGAGCGACGGTCGTGGCGACAGTTTGTGCAGGGGCTGCCGTTGACCAGGTAGTCGCACCGCACTTTGCGATCGTGACACGCTTTGCACGCTGCTGCCGCCCTGACTCGAGTGCTTGTGGGCCGGTCCATAATGTTGTGGATGCAGTTTGGAGGGGGGAAAAGGGAAGATCCGAGGGGCCTCTGTGTCAGTTATGGGTCGAATCAGACCGGGCCGGGCTGAGATTGCGAAGCTGGGTCACAATTGCCGATCGTGCGAGCTGCTGAAGGCACCCGGGCCGAACTGGATGACAGCCTGCTGCCCCAGGGGGTTGCCCCAGGGGGTCATCTCAGAAAGTTGGGATCTCTGGTGGCTGTTGGCTTACCATCCGGATGCTCCGTTTCCTGTATACAACGTCTCCTCCGTCCTAATCCGTCTTACGCCGTTTTTGCCGTCTCCACGACCGAAAATGCATCGACCCGGGCGCTGCCCACGTTTTAGCCCTGCGCCTAGCCGGGCCTGTACTATCGGAAGCACCCTATCGGAGTCTTTCCCTCGCGACCCGAGCCTAGTCGGGAAGTATCGCCGATGATCAATTCTTGGGAGGAGTGTGCGGAGCAAGCTAATTGAGGCATGCGTGGATTGGGCGAGACCCCCTCAATATAGTGCGCACTGTGTATCTAAGAGAAAGAAGAGCCATGTGAGCATTGAATTGAACTAACTAGCCAACTAAATAGCCTTTAGTGTAACCTCGCTGTCGCGCAGACCGTGCGCATGCGCTCTTACGGTAACCCTTCCCGGTCTCCCGGGCACTACACGCACTATTGCCAACGCTTTGCCACTAAACGCTTTCCGCTGCCTCGATAGGAACGCAGTCAGGTCACACTGATCGCCATTGTCAGTACTGACGATTTCACCTGGCCCGGAAATGGAGAAGCTGATTAGCGAATCCCCGTTTGGCACAAGAGTGTCTGCGCTGTCAAGCACATCGGCCGTGATGAAGACCAAATCCTCTTGAACGCCGCTAGAGAGGATCTATCGGCAGTGGGCTGGAGCCTTGTCGCTGGTCCCGCTGTCTGTACAGAGTCGGTGGCCCATTCCCGACCCTTCTTATATGTGACCACCCGCAGTCTGCCCGGTTGGTAAACAACCTCATCCCACCAGAATCTAATATTCAAATGAACCCCTCTGTTTCCTCCCCAGGGACTTTTCATTCAGAAGCAGCTCTGCAGCTGACTGCGAAAGACCCAGATGCCCTTGGCTATAAAGATTTCGGCCGGTCTCACGATCGGGGTGGGATCATTGTAAGTGACCTGAGTGCCCCTTTCGTGCGCTTCGAGTCGATCACTGACCTCTGATCCGTAGAGCAAGCGCTGCGACGATGGCGCGGGCAGTGTACACCATTCTGCTCCTGATGGGTGATGCGGTACTGGTTTAATTAGCTGACGCTCCCTTTCCAAGTCCATCCGATGCCTCGCCATTTCGGCCGGGTCTCTGGGCATGCATTGCATGCTGTCTTGCAAGCATTGTCATGGTGGTTCTGCTCAGTGCTTATTTCTGGTACATGAATCGTCGTGCTGATCGCGGGGAGATTGTCCTCGAGGATGAAGAGGACTCAGAGGTATGCGCTGCGACTACTTGCTCAAATGTGGGAGATGCAACTGACAATCGAATTCGGGTTGCGGACGAGGCAGGCTTGGCATTTCGGTATACGTATTAAGTTCGTGGCCAGCATGATGTCTCGGAATTGTGTTTTGTGCGCCTCGAGCGTAAGGTCCGAGAAGAAGGCAAGTGCTAGCACAGGCCCGAGAGAAGCGACATACTTCCACTTGGATATCGATGATGTTTTATCTATCCCTAGCCCTGTAACTTGTTCGAGATGGATAATAGGGAGCCCTGGCCCTCGTCTATTGAATAACATTGACTTTGATTTCAAGAACATGAGCATCATTACGCTCTTTGAATTTAGTGTGGCGACTATTTGCATCTCGATTGCTCGAATTACGCAACGCTCCAGCTCCCTGCACCTGTGACCGCATAAGACGTAGGCTGACGATGGTAGTACATATACTAGGACTGTTCCCGAAGAAGTTGGTTGTAGAATAAATCTATATACTGCGGAAAGTGCGTTGACATGCAAGCTTTTATGGAGTATACAGCATATCACTGAGCTAGCTATCCTACTTCCCAATCTTCAAGTTCCCCGCCAGAGGGAGCTTGCGGCTGCTGGAACCGACGTAGATCTTGTACTCGCCGTTCTGCAACCGCCATTTCTGCACCACTGGATCCCACACACTGAGATCTCTTCGAGTCAACTTGAAAGTTAATTTTTCTACCTTGCCTGCACGGACCGTAGGCTTCTGGAATCCGCGGAGCTGTTTGACGGGGCCGCCGGGGATGCCAACGTACAGCTGGGCTACTTCAGCGCCGGTAACAGAGCCAGTGTTCTTGACCTCAGCCGTCACTGTTGCGACTACGTCCCAGAGATCGGATGCACCTCCAGACAAAATGGGACCCTCGGGATACTGCTTGAGACGGCGCTGTTCTGTGCGGATATCAAGGTTCTGATAATGGAAGGTAGTGTAGCTCAGGCCGAATCCAAACTCATACCGGGGTTCAATGCCATCTCGGTCGAAATGGCGGTAGTCAATATAGACGCCTTCTGAGAAATCGCTCTGGGGAAAGTTGACAAAGTTGCCTTCAGGGAGGTCGGGGAGGAGCAGAGCGCCATAGTCGGACTCATTCTTGGCCAACGTGTACGGAAGCTTGCCAGAAAAGTTAACTTCCCCATAAATAAGTGACACTAGGGCTTTGCCAGTGTCCTGGCCAGGGAGATGAGCAAAGACAACGGCAGTGACGTTAGGATGGTCGATCCATGGATCCACGATGCGGGGGCCAGCGTTGTGAAGAATCACAATCGTGTTGAAACACTTGCTGGCTACGTTCAGTATCAGCGTATCAGTATAGTCGTCTCTCAAGCCTCGCCGATCCAATGCCTCGGAGGCCTGCGCATTACCAAAGACGAGGCAGGCATCACTGACCCCAGAAACGATGGGATCCGACGTATGGAAATCCCAGTACAGTTGGGTGTCCTCCTTGTCCGCCCGGACCATGAGGGCGTCAAAGGGAGAAAGGAAGGTCGAAAGTGAGGTCGCTCCAGATCCACCGCCATGAACCAGGGTCCCGTTGTACCCCGACGGGGACAGGGTGCGAACCACGCCATTTTCCGAAAGCAGGATGCCCTCAACGAGCTCGCTACTATTACCAGACTGGAATCCCCAAGCCCAGGCAGATGGTCCCTCGGACGGAACCATGTTCCGGTCCGGAGCCTTTGCTGAGTAGCCCAAGATCGAAAGCAGCTTTGGCTTCTTTAGCGGAAGGGCTCCTTTGATATTCTTTACCAGAACATGGCCTTCGACAGCAGACTGCAGAAGGATTGGCTTGTCCGAGGATTTGCGGGCTTCCACGATTGGGTGTGGTAGTGCAAGGTTCTTGGCCAGTCCAAAGCCAGGCTCTGGGAACTTCGAGTCCTGGCCCATATGATACCAGGATGCCAGAATCCTGTAGAGCAGTCAGCAAGCACACAAGCGCTTGGATAGGAATGGGAGGGGCAGCATACCGTACGACCATATCATCCACTCGAGACTCTGGGACAGAGCTATTTCGCACTGACTCGAGCAGACGAGGGCCCCAAAAGTCGTATGGGACTGGCATTGCCATGTCCAGACCCGCTAATGCAGATGCAACGCCTGAATGCTGAGCATTCCAGTCTGTGACCACAAAGCCCTAATTTTTGGGGTCAATATCTGCACGGAGACGTGGGGGGGGTCTCCTACCTGGAAGCCGAGTTCTGTCTTCAACATACCGTTCAGGGCCTTGCTATTTTGGCACCCGTAAGAGTTGTTGATCCGCTGATACGAGCACATGATACTGCCAGTGCCGGCATGCAGCGCATCCTGAAAAGGCCTTGGCCACTGGTTGTCAGTCTGAATCACCACGCAGAAGAGGGAAACTAACCATAGATAGAGTTCATGCATCGTCACGTCGTCAATGTTGGACGAGACTGCGACGGTCTTGTTGGAACCGCCGCGACGAGCTTCTTGCTCGTTGGCGATGTAATGCTACAGCAGTTAGCCTCATTCTCTGGCAAATCTTGGGGCAAGATAACTTACCTTGGTGGTGGCCACGACGCCGCCCTCCTGTGTACCAAATACGGTCTCTTTAACCAGAACACCGGAGAGATACGGGTCGACCGAGTAACCTGGACTGCTGTGAGATTGTCATCCAGACTTGGGTGAATCATCGAATGCCTACCTTCCCAGTTCCTGCCACCAGTTACAACCCGGCCCAATGGTCCGACTGAAGGTCCAAGCATGATGTTGACGCCTTTTCTCTTGAACTCTCCAGCCTGGGCCAGGGCCTTTTGGCGTGCGAGGGCGCTGTTCCATCTGGGTAGTGTCAGTATGGGGTAAATTCCAGTTCTTGATCTCTGGTTGCATACGAGGCGCCAATATGAATGTTGCTTGGCCACGAGTGAACAAAATCCGTGTTATGTACCCCGTGTCCAGCGTCCTGGAGGCAGAGACCGGGGAAATCCAGACGCTCAATGGCGGCAATCATTCCAGCGCAGCCAGTGCTTGAAGGATAGCCGGCCGTCAGATTGACCTGGCAGAGGTTAACTCCCAATACCGAGCAGAAACACCATAAATATCGCACCTTTTCTTCCAGTGACAGTTGGGAGACCAATTCCTGGGCCTTCTGGATGGCCGCTCGCCAGTCTCCATGGGGCTTCACATCAGCTACACGAGAGGGATTAGATGAAGAACACCGGACAAGTCAGGGAAAGGAGGCGCACGAGCAGGGTAGACGGGAGGTGACTGGCCGTAAAAGTACGCGTCATCTGTGAGCTTCTGCGACGTAGCCCCACCAATGGTGAGAGAAGCAACAAGGAATGCCAAGCCACTACGCAACATGCTGTAGGACTTTTGCAGAATGAACAAAGATGTACATTGGAAAACGTGGTCGGCCACAGCGTTGGCTTTATTCTCGCAGGGGTTCCGGTCTCCACCACTGGATTTCCAGGAACTGGGGCCGCCGGCCGGGCCGGTCGTCACTGATTGAGTTGGGGTGCCGGGTGAGGTACCATATACGACCGAGGCCAAATTGATGCTAGAGTCGGGCAGATAACGCGCGATGGTGTAGATGGTGGCGAGGGCGTAAACAGGCTCAGCGGGCAAGCGACCAAAGTCGGTGGCATAGAATGTCGGAATCAAGGGGGCCATTCGCTCGCTGAACAGGGCAAACATCTCCTGCGCCTCGGCGACGGTGATGTTGGCGTCGGCCAGACACGTGGCCAGAGACTTCCTGCCGTCAGTCGAACACCGATCAGAGGCAGTGTCGATGGTGTTGTAATCTGGAGACCACAGCTGGTGCTCCTCCAGTTGGACGGTAGAATACGGGGTGTCGCCCTCTGGAACGAGCTCCCCATACCGAGCAGGCGGGTAATAGGTTCTCCAACCATAATCGGGATTGTTGATGATCTCGTGAAAATTTCGTTTGCGGCTGCGCGGTTCGCGGTGGTCGTCCTGTTCGATCGCGTGCAGGCTTGCAAGGAGCGTCTGGCGTTGGCTGCCATTAGAACAGAGGGAGACGGGGTGATGAGGAGACGAGACGAATTCCCCTTGGAAAGGCAGGGAGGGATTTGTGATTGCTGCGTCGCGAAGGATCCAAAGGAATGTGTGGGGAAATGCGACGCTAAGCCCCGCGCTCAGACAATTTTCGGGGTATGTATCCTCGGCTGATGATGAACTCTCGTCCGGCCCGGATCCGGTCCGGATGCAAGAGCTTAGCGTCATGGGAGTGTTGGAGAGAGGGCATGATTGTATTGATTATCCGCCAATGAAGCCTCGAGCAGGGAATTTCATCTCCATACTACAAGCTGAGCCTCGTTGCGAAATCGAACAAGAACCTTTCTCTCACTCTCCGATTGCCCCTCGAAGACTAGTCGAAAGTTTCCAACAGCGTTGTTCTCGGAATCAGTGTCCAACGTTAGAACCGTCGGTAATAACCGATCATTCACTGAAAGCGCAGGAAAAGCGAACAAGTAACTCGTAATCAGGATCTTCTTTCGCTTCAGTTCAACATCGCGATGGTGATATAGGCTGACAGTTGCGACCGAAAATAATATTAAGGTATGATGCAAACTCCAGGAGTTAGTGCGGCTACTCATTGTCTAGACCAGGCATGGCAACCCCTGAATCCAGCCCCCATCCTCTCATTTCGAGGGCTATACCTTTTCATGCTGCACCAAAAAGGACCGCAAATTCAGGCATGTAACAATTTTCGGTTGTGAGAAGAATACAGTTTGACTCGACAGAATAACTTTGAAACAAAAATCGCTTCTTATTGTTCCCTATGTAAGCCGCTAGACACGATAACAGGAATGCTTGGTCCAGGCTTTCGCTGGTCGCCCAAATATGCCTTTCGCGCGTGACAGGTCCACCAACAAACCGATTGATGAGCAATTCATACCGGTCAAGCAGAGTAAACAGGAAGGAAAACTATAAAACAAGGCCACAAAGAGTATCCCAACGTGCCGCTGGGGAGAAACCAGCGGTCAGGGCGTTTTCCAGTGCAAGATCCACGATTTGTCGGTCTGTCCGCAGGAAAGCGTAATCAGCATATTTACTTTGATAATTGAGGTTAACCCTTACCTGGTTGTTTGTGCTTTGGCCAGTTGTATTTGGTAGACAGAGACTCCGGATCTCGTGCGAAGGATACCCATGCGCCTGAATTCGTCAGTCACGGTTGTGCGACTACCCGGGATCGGGCGCGGGGTACGATATTACCCTGGATGTACTCGCTCGCTTTGATTTGCTCAGGTGTTGGAGGACTTCCAGCTTTGTAGTAAGTCCCGAAGATCATTGGTAGCTCGCCTGGGAAGACAGTTGAGCAGTGACCGAACGTCATGGCTTCTTGGCAAGTACATACTCGAATGATAGGCGCCGAGGAATGGTGCTGGACTGATATTCGTCCAGTTGCCATGGTATATGTACCTCCAAACAGGTACGCCGCTCTGGACCCGCCATCTAGATGAGAAATATGTTATTGTTTCGCTCAGCTAACGTAGAGATGGACAGTTACATTGACGACCGTGCCGTGGGGCACTGGAAAGGAATCTGTGTGAGAAGAGATACGACCCCATGATCAACTTGATCAATGGTGCTGTTAAGGGGGTAGTTCACAGATGATTCACGCTCGTTGCTGCCCATGAGGGTTGCCTGTTCCAGAAGTGGTCAGCCCATCACTCTCCCAGGGGACCTTCATAAGGGACTTACAATTTTCGCGACTTTGCCCTGTTTCGTCCTACTCTCATAGTCTGCAAAGATGATTTTGTTATCTTGTACTGGAATAAAGAAATATAAACCGTCAACAGTTTCGCTCAAGATGTCTTGAAATGGTAAGTCTCGCATGCATTGTAAATTCTCAGAGGGGTCTGCCGTAGCGCAACCGAGCTTCTTGGAAAGATTGTTCCAGTTGCGGTGGCTGGAGTCGCTGCTCGTCAGAAGACTGGCCGTCCCAGATTGCATAGCCGCCGCGTGAATGATAGGATCGTTGTAATACTATTTGCAAGTCAATTCAATGCGAGACAAGCGGCTGGATTTGACGGAACTTACAGCATACGTATACATATCCGTAGATATTGAACCGGCGGATTGGCCGAACAGCATTATCCTAGCCGGATCTCCTCCAAACTTGGCAATATTCTTATGAACCCACTCCACTGCCAGTCTCTGTCTCGCCAGTCAGGGCTCGTCCTCAAAACGTACCAACTTACAGGCACTAACCTGGTCCATGATCCCCACATTTTGTTCACCGTCTCGAAGACCTGGAGCGTTTGGAAACCCAAAAACTCCCAGGCGGTAGCTACCAGGTTAGCTCGGCAAGTCTCGGTGCTGAGCTTAGACTTACTTTAGGGTGACCACAATAATGTCGTTGTTGTCCTGGACAATATTTGTGCCGTCAAAATAGGCAATGCTGCTTCCACCTCCAGTGAATGCCCCACCATGAATAAACATCATGACTGCTGCCTGTTGATCTCCGTTGCGGCGTGCTGAGGGTGTCCATATGTTGAGCTTCAAACAATCCTCGGCCATAGTATCACCCCACGGGAGGTATGGTAGGATATCAGCAATTGATCCGGGATCAAAGCGGTTTTCGCTTGGACATAGAGGGCCAAATGTGGTCGCTGACATGGGTGCACTGGACATTTTCCTCAGGACCGGCGGGGCGAAACGTAAGCCACCAGTTGGGGCTTCGGCGTATGGGACGCCTAGAAAGGCGCGTACAGTTCGTTCTGTGTTGTTATAGAAGCCATGGACAGTTCCGCTAGTTGTTTGAACCTGGAGCTGGCCAGCGTAAGCGGTTGTCGAGAGTAATATCTCAAGGAATGCAAGCAGCATGGTTAAGGTGCGCATAATTGCTGGCGTGCGAGCGTAGAAGAAAAGGGAGGGACGAGTCCTGTTTGTCAATGAACTCAGGAATCTCAGGCGGACTTGTACGAGATTTAAAGCTTTCTTTTCTTGCAGCCGGATCTTGCGAAACGCCCGGGCCGGGCCAACCAAGTCATCCATTCTAGTGGGAACTGATCGATCCCTTTCGGCCTCTTCGAAACAAGCTCCGGTCCGGACCGACCACATGACCCGAGTGCAAGATCGAAAAGGATGTTTCCGACAGCATGTGATGTAAAAGTGCGATTTGAAGCTCGTCTGTTCCTTCTAGCAAACTATCATCAGAGTAATAACAAAGCCGCGTAATAACAAAGCCGCCCCGGCGTTAAAAATCATTTTCCACTCAAAAAAGCAGTCAATGGCGTCTGATGTCATCCTTTACATAATTCGCTACTTCAGAACTGCATCCATATCCTCATATCATAGTCCACCTACAAGGAACTGCGCCGCCTCGGCAGCATTATTGGGGTAGGAGCCATGTGCAGTTAACACAAAGGGCTGGCTTCCGCAGATTATATCCCCTTGAGCGCAGTAGGTCCTGAAGTTTGAGATATTGGGGACTAGGTCTGCGTGGAGTGGATCGCCAAATGTCACTGCCGCTGCCACCTTTCCAGGGCCCAGTTTGGACGCCGCAACGTGCACAACCATACCTCCCTGTGAGAAGCCGCCTAGAAGAATCTTAGTTTTGGGGCATTGGGTAAGGGCTTGAGTCGCATGTGCAGCCATTTCTGGACCGCCCGAGTTGCCAAACAGTAGATTTCCCTATGTTTACAACATACATCAGCGCGCATGCCAGGCGATCAGTGGAGAGAGAGAGGAATACCAATCCCCATGCGGGATAGTTTACGCCTTGAACGGCGATTCTTCCTGGCAACAATGCTTCAAGCTCCACCGCGAGCTTGGGGCCAATGCCAACACCCATGTTTCCAACGTCACCGGTACCACGGGCAAAGATGAATGTCACAGGCCTGCAAGGAGCCTTATCGACGATATCATTGGCAGTAATGGCATCTGCACGTGCGAATTAGCGTTTACCGCTGCAGGAAGAGCCGGTTATGGCCATCAAGTACCTGGAATCCAGCGAGAGACAAGGTCAATTGGGGTTGGTACGCTCAAGGCGCAGGCAAAGAGTGAGACGGTGGTAAGCAGCTTCATTGCAAGTTCTGGCTGGAGGAAGCTAGTGATGGATTGCTGAATCTAGAAGGCGTGAGGCAAGAGATCTTTTTTTTTGCGAGAGCTCCTTTGCAGATTTTATACTTCGCTGTCTCGTTGTTGTGCGGGGAAAGGATGGGGTATCTCCAGGTCTGTTCATGATTCACATGGGACCACATGAATCCTTGTAAAGTCTGTTGGACAATGCATATTTCTGCGATGTGGAGCATACAGATTCGGGCCGGATCCGGGTGATCCTTTTCCATCTCAAAGGATTGAGTACCGGGCGACGGCGGTGGGAATGTGAGGGTTGATACGAGTCGACCAATGCGCCCGAGGCGCAGAAGAAATGACCTGAGTATGGTGTTTTCTTTTCTTTACTTTTTTTTTCAAAGTCATCTTGCGGGTTGTAGTCTTGTGTCTGTCAAAGTCTGCGATGAAGCTGCAACAGCTGGACCTGAGGCAGCTCTCTTGAGCCTGAGGATATCAGAGAAGCGCGTCTCCAGGGAGCCCTACGATAGACCGGAACAGTCTTGGCCGGTTAGAGAATGCCTCCGCATTTCCATGCGGTTGTTGGGCTTACAAGGAAGGGCTGAACGGAGGAGAGTATACTGAGTGGTACTATCTTAATCAGTCGACTTTCCCAAAATTTATACTGTACTGCAGCTCCTACTTTTGTCTCTTTTCTTGACCCCCAAGCTGTGCTGAAGAGAACAGCGGGCAAAGAGTCCTGTGGCCGGCGAGGAAGGCGAGTATCTAAATTGTGAGACGGGTACATGACCTGTAAGAGGCGGCAGGTGCGATGCGACCAAGCTCGCCCACGGTGCGGCGGGTGTGCCAGGCTGATGATTGCTACGAGTATCTGGCTCGGCAGTTGGAACGGTTTTCATGTGTTGCGGGCTTTTACTTACGCGAGCAAGTAGATTCGAATTTGGCTTAGCGAGCCCTATATTCCTTCAGCAGAGTATCCCGGTGATCCTTGCTCTAAACGGCGCCCGGCTTCAAACCCGAGGTGCGGTACGACGTCGCCATCCAGTACAACTGCTTCTTCTTGCTTAGTCTTACGCACATATAGGAACATAATCAGAAAATCCTCCAGCTTAACCGGATTCAGACTTGTCGCTTCATTCTATGATTGAGTTCAGGATCGGTCCTAACCACTCGAATCCGAATGCCTGATCATGACGCCACGGATAATCGATGATTTGACGGCGTTTCTAATAACTACTAACCTGTCTCTTATTAGGAACTCAAAGCCTAGTGAAAGGATAATGTCAGACATGCGCTTTGACAATACCTAGCGACGAAAACACAATCTATCCAGCTATATACAAATTTCAATGACTTTATGGATGGTGTCGATTTGGCCTCAAACATGTCGCCCATTGTTTGTTTCACTTCCTTGGAAGCCTCGAGACCCCCTTACCTTTGAAATAAAGCACCTGTTTATGTCTTGTCTAGAGCCTCTGCAGGGGGGTGCAGAGAAGCAACCCATAGCCTCGCTTGATTCATCCGTCATGGGTTGAGACCTGATACTGATTCGACACGGTATTAGAGCCAAGGTTCATTTTAAAGTCATCTGTATCAAATTTAATTAACAAGCCTCAAAGCGCCCCTCAATACCAACAATATTCGCAACTGCCCGCCTATACCCTTCACATGCCTGCAACCGAGATGCATACGCAGCAAGTAGTGGATATCTGTTTTTGGCAATCCCCCTTTGCACCCCAAAAATGCGCGTCATGCTCTCAATTACTGGATAACTCATCAAGATGTCCGCCACAGTCAGCTTCTGGCCGGTAAGGAAGGGCCCACTACAGGGAGCAGAACGAAGCTGGTTCTCTAGGAAGTCGAAATGATCCACAAAGTTCTGGTTCAAGAAATTGTCCTCGATTTTCGACGCGACGAAACTGAATAGACCCGGACGAAGACTGGTGGTGCGGTTCTGAGCACTATATCCGAGAGGCTTAGCTACATCCCTAGCTCGTGTTTTGAGAGTTATCGTAGGATCAGAAGCGGCTTACTGTTCGTCACAACCTTCATCACTAGGTTCGGCATCAAGCTTCCCTCCGTATAGTGCATATAGTACCAGTAGCGAAGCCACTCCTCCGGCTCACCTCCCACTTTGCCCTCCTTGCCTGTATCCGCAAACCGTTCCAGGACAAGATGGGCGCCACTAAAATGCTCGCAGAGATATTCGGCAATAAACGCGGACTCAGCCAGGACCAGCGGAGCTTCTGAACTTGGTGACGAGATGGCAACAATTGGCGATTTCCCGAGTGGGTGAATATCTTCAAGTGCCTTTGGAGCGAGCTTGTCTGAACCACGTTTGAAGGTCTTGAGCTCGTATGGAATGTCGAGTTCCTCGAGAAACCAGAGGATCCGGTGTGCGCGGGATTGTTCGAGCCTGACTTTGTTAGAATGGACATAGAAAGCATACCCACCAACAGCGAGGCTTACCAATAAAGAGTCACGGTTGTGTCACTTGCCGCGAATGCCATCTCTACAGCTACACCTCGACTATACGATTATGACGCGTTCGAAGGATGAGTGAAAATGAGGTTCTCGCACTGGTGAATCCCCACTACGTCCGAGCTCTTCTTATGAAAGAATACAACTGAGAAAAGCTAGGCGGAATGTATTCCTGGCCGTCACGGTATGGTTTGGTTAGTTTGAGTTTCCGTTAGGCGTTGTGCCCTGAAACGAACGTAGTGAGAGGAAGGGACAAAGTGCCCTGGAACGACCGAAGGGAGTGAAGGGTTTACATCGCGTGCGGGGCCATGCCAAGAAAATCTCTCTCTTTGAGCACCACTACCCAAATTTCCCACCAAATTCCTGCCAAGCCTTATCTCCACCTTCTCCACGCCCTCCTCTGATTCCTCTCCAGTAACATATCCTTTTCAGGCTTAGTGTTCGTGAGATTCGCGCTTCATTTCTGGATCACTGCTGGCTTACTTGCATGCTTAGTTCCTCCCATTGGCCTCTACGGGGACTGCTGGCCTGCATGCTTCTGCGACGCACTTCCCTAGGCATTCTCCTTATTGGCAGGATATTGGCAGGATGCCTGTTTTGTTCCACTGATCCGCTACCGCTTCCAATGCCTCCTGATTTCTACCAAGTTTTTTTCCAACGTGATATATCATATTTCGCGGCATATAACCTGCCACGCTGTTTCTTGACATTTTCCATCTTTTGCCCCTTTACACAATTTACACAATTCTCCGTTAGGGCGCATACCTTTGATCACCTCTTGCTCACTGTTGATGAATCAACTATTACTTGGTATGCCGCCTGACGCTGTTGGTCTTCCTACGGATATTGATAGTACCCTGTCTTGCGATGCTCTCCGAAATACTGGTTCCCCACAGCTACACGATGCCAGTCACCGCTTGCTACCTGGCGCCTGCATCCCTATGAGATTTGATCCCTTCCGAAATTCTATCACTCTGTCTACACCACGGAACAACTTTAGAGGAAACCGCCGGCTCTGCTCTTCACAGACTCGCCCACTGTCTATCGCGCCTGCCCCGTCATCTGCGCTACGGTCACCCTGCTCGCGCCTTCGGCCTATCGCCCCAAGACCCTGCCTGACATTGCCTGAGTCTTCTGCCGACTTACCAGCACCACAGAACATATTACCAAGGGAAACTAATTCTGGTTTCCATTTTATTGCTCTTGCGAGTGTAACTTGGTGAGGTACAGGGACAAGGTACCAAAACTAACGTCACATCTGAGGAGCGCGAGCGAGAACTCCCAGAGAGAGCGATCAACAGGGACGAATCGACGACTTCCTCTGTAACCAAGTAAGCGGAACGACTTGTTGAAGGTTGTTGGCAAGATGCCGACACGCGACGCGCGCGGGGGACGGGCCGAAACACGAACCCCTGAACCTCCCGACCGCGACGAACGCGAAGAATCACCACCACGGCTACGACCCAAACGAGTCACCAGACCACCGAATAACTATGCCCGGGAACAGGAAGAGGAAGCCACAAGATATGCGCTGGGCAGTCAAACTGAACGCCGAGGAAGAGGCAGACCAAAGACCCGCAATGAAACCGCAGCAGAGCGCGTTAACAGCTCAGAGGACGAAACAGAAACCGGCAACAGCAACCCGCAAACGACTGAACTACTCGCAGAGTTAGTCAAGTTACGAAGAGAAATCAAGAGGAGGGATGAGACCCACAGAGCAGAATTAAGGGAAGTCAAAACTCAGTTTACGGAAGCTCTTGCTGGAATGCAACAGGAACTAGCGGAGCTGCGTAATGAGTTGGCCACCTCCCAAACCAACCATGACGAGACACTTCGCGAAATCCAATCCCTACGTACCTCTATAACCACCCCAGATTCTACGAACAACCTATCCTATGCAGATGTCGCCTGCACCCCTCCAACCAGTCAGCCAAGCAACATATGGACTCTGTCATTGTTTAACACGACACCGACCACCTTCACCGATACGCTATATTGCACGATAGATACCTCGAATGTGGCTGATAATGGAACGAGAGAATGTCCGCAGGCCCGATTAGGGCAGCAGTGGAGAAAGAGATCCGGACAATAGAAAACCACACTAACTGGCGCTGTCGCGCGGTTATGGTGGACCCGAAGAACACAAAGCGGGTCTGAATTGCTTGCCGGGATGAAGCTGAACACCAGCTGGTTAAGAAAGCTGCTGAAGCAACAATTGGCGCAGGAGCCCAGGTGCTCCGCGATGACCTCTATCCAATCAAAGTTGACAGTGTTAGGAAAGCTGCAGTTCTAGATGAAAACGATGAGATCCGAGTAGGGGCTGCAGCAGCTTTCAGCGAGGAGAATAAAGCCACTGTTGCCAAGCTCGCGTGGCTTAGCAAAAAGGAGAATGCGAAGGCCTATGGATTAATGGTGGTGTACCTGACCAGAGGCACCGATGCACGAAGGCTCCTGGCCGAGGGGTTCTTCCACGCTGGGGGAGAATCTGGTGTAACCAGCGCCTTTGAGCATTGGCCACGACCGACGCAATGCTACAACTGCCAAGAGATTGGACATAAGGCATTCCAATGCAACAACACCCAGAAGTGCGCGAAATGCGCCAAGGAAGGCCACCGCCACAGCACCTGCAACGAGACGGTCCTTAAGTGCGTTCCGTGCGGAGGCCCACATGAATCGTTCAGCAGAAACTGTCGGAAGCTTTACCCAGTGCAACATGAATAAAACACTCCGAATAATTCAGCTAAACGTAAGGAAACAGGGCGCAGTGCATGACAGCCTAATGAACAACAAAGAAATTCAGGACGCAGCGGCAATAGCAATCCAAGAACCCCAAGCAAGAAGAATCAACGGCCGACTGTTGACAACTCTGATGGGACATCAAAAATGGACAAAGATGGTCCCCCCCACACTAAGGGAAGGCAGATGGGCAATCCAGAGCATGCTATGGGTAAGGAAGGACGTGGAAGCGGAGCAAGTGCCAATAGAATCCCCGGATCTAACAGCGGCGATCGTCCGACTCCCCGAGCGATTGATTTTTATGGCATCAGTCTATGTAGAAGGAGGAGATGCCCAAGCCTTGCGTGACACGTGCAGTAGCTTACGCAAGGCAATCACCAAGGTAAGGCGAGATACGGGCGCAGTGGTGGAGGTTCTGATCGTGGGAGACTTCAACCGACATGATCAACTTTGGGGAGGAGACAACGTGTCTTTGGAGAGACAGGGCGAAGTGGATCCAATCATTGACCTTATGAATGAATTTTCTCTCAGCAGTCTACTAAAACGAGGTACAAAGACATGGCAGGGGGGAGGACAGGGTGGAGACTACGAGTCAACTATCGACCTCGTCCTTGCCTCGGAGAATCTGGCGGGTTCCATGGTCAAGTGTGCAATACATGGGACAGAGCACGGCTCCGACCATCGCGCAATCGAGACCGTGTTTGACGTTCTGGTTCCGGGTTCCAAACAGCAGGAGCGACTGCTGTTCAAAAATGCACCATGGAAGGATATCAATGCAAGAATTGCAGGAAGCCTGAACAGCACTCCGGTGAATGGTACGGTGCAGCAGAGAACCAACCGACTGATGACCGCGGTGTTGGAGGCGGTGCATGCCTTGACCCCAAAGGCTAGACCGTCACCTTACGCAAAGAGGTGGTGGACCACGGACTTGACACAACTCCGCTATTTCTACACATACTGGAGAAATCACGCCCGCTCGGAGCGACGGGCAGGACGAGTCACATCACACCTGGAAGAGACAGCTAAAAATGCAGCGAAGCAATACCACAATGCCATCCGTCAACAAAAGAAGAACCACTGGAAGGAGTTCCTTGCAGACAACAATAATATATGGAAGGCCGCCAAGTACCTGAAGACTGGAGACGATACAGCATTCGGGAAGGTACCACAGCTCATCCGTGCAGATGGAACCACCACTACCGATCACAAGGAACAAGCAGAAGAGCTTTTGGCTAAATTCTTTCCCCCTCTACCAGACGACATTGAGGAGGAAGGATCCAGGCCGCAAAGAGCACCTGTGGAGATGCCTGCCATCACCATGGAGGAAGTAGAGCGACAACTATTCAAAGCAAAATCATGGAAGGCACCCGGAGAAGACGGCCTACCGGTGATAGTTTGGAAGATGACCTGGCCCGTGGTTAAACACAGGATTCTCGACCTGTTCCAGGCGTCGCTCGAAACCAAGTCAGTGGAGACATGCAAAAATCATACCACTCAAGAAACCGAACAAAGAGGACTACACCATTGCGAAAGCTTGGAGGCCGATTTCACTTCTCGCGACACTGGGCAAGGTCTTAGAATCAGTGGTGGCAGAAAGGATCTCACGCAGTGGAAACATATGGCCTACTCCCAACCAGTCACTTTGGAGCCCGAAAACAGCGATCAGCGGAACAGGCACTCCTGCTCCTGCAAGAGCAAATCTACACGGCCTGGCGTGGCCGTCGGGTCCTGAGCTTGATCAGCTTCGATGTCAAAGGAGCCTATAATGGGGTCTGCAAAGAACGACTACTCCAGAGGATGAAAGCGCGAGGCATACCAGAAAGTCTGATCCGGTGGGTCGAGGCCTTCTGCTCGGAACGAACAGCGACCATCCAAATCAATGGGCAAGGGTCTGAGGTACAAAGCCTCCCACAGGCCGGACTACCGCAGGGCTCTCCCCTATCGCCGATCCTGTTCCTTTTCTTCAACGCAGACCTTGTGCAGCGACAGATCGACAGCCGCGGCGGAGCGATCGCTTTCGTGGACGACTTCACCGCGTGGGTGACCGGGCCAACTGCGCGGAGCAACCGGGAAGGTATCAAGCAAATTATTAACGAAGCGCTCGACTGGGAGAGGAGGAGTGGAGCGACGTTTAAAGCAGACAAAACTGCCATTATACACTTCACCCCTAAAGCACACAAATCAGAACAGGAGCCTTTCACTATCAAGGGACAAACTGTTGAGCCTAAAGACCATGTCAAGATCCTTGGAGTGGTGATGGACACTAGACTCAAATACAAGGCACACATAGCCAGGGCAGCGTCCAAGGGCCTAGAAGCAGCGATGGAGCTCAAACTACTCAAAGGCTTATCTCCCTCAACAGCGCGGCAGTTGTTCACGTCAACTTTTGCCCCAGTGGTGGACTATGCCTCTAATGTCTGGATGCACGCTTTTAAGGATAAGGCCAGCGGGCCCATTAACCGGGTTCAACGGGTTGGAGCTCAAGCAATAGTGGGAACATTCCTCACCATTGCAACCAGTGTGGCGGAAGCAGAGGCTCACATTGCCTCGGCGCAAAGCTGGTTCTGGAGACGGGCAGTAAAGATGTGGACGGACATCCACACCCTACCAGAAACCAACCCACTCCGCAGAAACACGGATCGTATCAGGAAATTCCGAAGATTTCACCGCTCCCCGTTATATCAGGTGGCAGATGTGCTAAAAAACATCAAGATGGAAACACTGGAAACCATCAATCCATTTACATTAGCACCATGGGAGGAACGACTGCAGACCAATATTAGAGGAACCTCAGAGTCACCAGCAGAAGCCGGCGGATCTATGCAGATCGCAGTTAGCAGCTCAGCACGGAATAAGGTAGTGGGATTTGGCGGAGTTATTTAGAAGCAACCGCCCAAGTACAAGAAGCCAAGACTAAAGGCCTTCTCTGTCACACTGGGCGCAAGATCAGAGCAGAACCCATACTCGGGAGAGCTGGCAGCAATGGCACACGCATTGAAGACGCTACCAGCACTGAAACTGTACAGAATCACGCTGCTGACGAGCAACAAAGCGGCCGCACTTTCCCTGGAGAACCCGCGACAGCAGTCGGGCCAGGAGCACATGTGCCTGATATACAAGCTGATCAGAAGACTGCGGAAAAACAGAAACAGGATCACAATCCGCTGGGTCTCCACAAGCGAGGAAAACAAACTACTGGGCCTTGCTAAAGTACAGGCCAGGGCAGCGACCCAAGAGGACCCCATGCCATACACACAGCTCCCCAGAATGAAATCAACCACTCTTAACATCGCACGATCCCAACAAGACACCAGCAAAGCCTTGCCCGAGAAAGTAGGCAAACACGTGAAAAGGGTGGACGCGGCCCTCCCAGGCAAGCATACTCGACAGCTGTATGATCGATTATCAGGGAAAGAAGCGAGCGTGCTGGCCCAGCTCCAGACGGGCATGGCAAGACTAAACGGATACCTCTACCAAATCAACGTTGCGCCAACTGATCAGTGTGAATGTGGACAAGCAAGAGAGACGGTAGAGCACTTTCTCTTTCGATGTCGGAGATGGACGACACATCAGACAGAAATGCTGCAATGTACCAACACACACCGAGGCAACATATCCTTCTATTTGGGCGGGAAATCGCCCTCAGATAATCAAGACTGGACTCCAAACTTAGAAGTGGTACGGGCGTCAATACGGTTTGCAATCGCCACCGGCCGACTCGACGTCGCTTAACCATATAGTCGAACATAAATCACTCACTCTTCCCAACCTAACTCACACCAACACCTCGTGGCAGACACGGTAGGTGCGCTTCAACTGCCGAAGATGGGATGTTGAACACTTGGAGAAGCGCCTTCAAGCCAGCCTGCTAACAAAACTACTAACCCACGAGAATCTCCTACGATCCTGATAGACGGCATGACATATGCTAAAAGTGAAATTGTACGGGCTAGAAGGAGACATGGCACCCGATAGGAAATGTACTAGTATATTAGTGACAGTTGCCCTTTCGGCTCAGCCGCCGGGCGTTAATAAATTGTTTGTTTGTTTGTATCATCCAGAGGAATGTTCAATGAGAGTAGGAACTGTGCCTCACAAGCGGCGAGCCTGTCCGAAACGCAGCTTAAGGAAGATTGAATTGTCGCTGCGGCCTTTTGGGTTGCAGACGAAACCAATATAAAAGCATCAGATAGTTCATTCTGCTCTGACGCTAATTGTAGTGCTTGTTGTAGTTGTCGATAGATTTCCCGTGCATCGTTGAATAGCCTTAGCGTTGATCTATGTGACTCCTGATGGAAAGCAACCTCATGTCTAAGCCGCCCAATCTCCCGCTGGAGATCATCCACCGTTGGAGGGGGGTCGAACTTTGACTGCTTTAGTTGATATGGTAGTCGTTCAGTATTCACTGTTTTCTGGCCATGTTTTGAGACAAGGTAGTCCACAGGGGTAGGTTCTGGGACGTCCATCGTACTGTGAGGACTCAAAACTGATAGATTATAGTGATTTGTGGTATGTACACGCTGTAGGCGCATGGCCGTTTAAATATTCCCCCCAGGTCAGAGTACCTCCTGCCAGCAGGCGGCTACTCAGCTCTCTTATATTTTGGTACGGCCAATAGTGGCTTGATTGGCTCCCGAGAACACGATCTAGGCTCAGAGCTCTCCCTCAACATCAAAAAGTCATCATGGGTTCCCGTACGCGGATGTTCCAAGGCCTGCAGCTGTTAGCTTATGGCTCTACAAACGCATGGGTTGTTTAACCTCTCGCATAGCAGGAACATCATCATTGGTCTTGAAGATCCACTGACGTCCCATACTGTCAGTCAAGACCACCACTGCCTTCATATCAAACTCGGCACAGAATTGCCGAAGTTTTCTGAATACTGTTCGACGGCGTCGGCCTTCGGATGATTTTGGGATCTGAGCTTTCATCATGACGAGTAAGGGTTTGCGGTTTTGCGAAATTGTACCTCTGTAACAAGGTGAGCATGATCCAAGGGAAAAACTGGGAACTTATCTGCATTTATAGGTGACTCGGTTGTGTCGCTAGCGCCCACGTATACTTGAGATCTTCGTGAGCGCTTATATTTATTTTGCTATTCTCATCTCCCTGCAGCTCCATCTTCGGCAGGCACAGCTGATTCGATAGTAAAATTAGTAACCGTAGACGCCCAGGAGGGAAGAATCGCCCACGAGGTCTAAAAAAAGAAACGGACCGCCACTCCTTTTCTCTTTGCTGGAGCTATATAAACAGCACGAACCCTTTATACAAAAGTCTAACTAAACATAGCACACAGAACATGAATCCATCTCATATTTACGCATGTGCCCTAGGAGGGATTATTGCGTATCTAGTTATTTGCCGGTTCGTCCGATATTGCGCCCGGCAGCAGCGGTGGCTACGAGTATTAGTCCGTCCCGGTAGATACCTATATCGCAAGGTTTTTTTCTATCTGTTGCGGCATGTTGTTTTTCCCCAAGTGTTTCGCACTCGATCAAGACTCTGGGTCCTATTGCAGTGTATCTACTGGGCGGGCACGCTTACTTGCAACTTTCTCGTAACACACGGGCTTCGGTCAATAGCGGCGCGGTCTGGAAATCTTGCTGTTATCAATTTCGTCCCTCTTGTACTCGCTGGTCGGCTAAGTCTAGCAGCGGATCTCCTTGGGCTACCTATTCAATCATACATCAGGATGCACGGGACATTTGGTACAATGGTCTGCGTCCAAACCGTTATGCATGTTGCAACCTCCATGCGAAATAGAGATTGGGCACCCCAGAGCCCAGTTCAATTCTACGGATTGCTGGTACGCTGAAAACGCATATTTTGGCTTGGTATACTAACATAGCCAGGCACTCTCTGCATTTGCATTTTCAATGGCTCTACTTGTTATCCGGAGATGTCTTTATGAGGTGTTCATCAAGCTCCACTACATGCTTGCATTAGTTGCACTAATTGCTATTTGGCGCCACATACGCATCCAGAGGATTTTCGCCCAAATATACGTCTTGATTGCCAGTGGTATTTTCGTTGGAACTACCATTCTTCATTGGGTGCTGCTTGTTGTACGAAACATCACCCGTGAGCGTTTTGGTTCTAGGGCTCAAATCATACGGAGTGATGATTCTGTTCAGTTAATCATACCTGTCAATCGCCCGTTCACTGTTTATGCCGGAATGTGGGTATATATTTGGATGCCCGGCGTTAGCCCCTTCTCAATGTTTAGCAGCCATCCATTCATGGTGACCTGGTGGGAGGACAACAGTCAAGGAAAGGCGACAAGTATTTCGTTACTCGTTCAGAAAAAACATGGCTTCACTCAGAAGCTTGTGGACCATCGAGCTGACGAGCTCCTCACCTGGATTGATGGGCCTTATGGAGAGCCTATTGATCTATCGTCATATAAGAATGTCCTCTTGGTCGCGTCAGTCATCGGAATTGCTTCTCAGATTTCCTATATACGAGAGCTACTCAAAAGTCACCCGAAACATATTTTCGTGGCTTGGGAATTGGATGACAATTGTAAGCAACCCTTGTTTATGATGCTCGAAAACGCCTAACTTTATCAGCCAATCTTGACTGGGTCTATCAGTGGATGGATCGACTTCTTTTGCAGGACCAGAAGTCCTATGTATGATTAATCTGAAAAGCTAGGGGGCCTTCTATTAACGCCAAGCAGATCCTTCGATTTGGCCTCTATTTACCCAGCAGCTCAGATAGCCCAGGCAATCCAGAGCCTTGGAATAGTAAGCATGATCGCATCTGGAAGCTACCTGGAGAACTACAGCCTTGGAAAGTGGTGACAAAAGAATTCTGGAGCGGCACTGGAACCTCCTTGGTGACTGGTAAGTTTATCCAAAATTGAGTGCTCCTAGTCTAACCGGGGAGTTTCTGCGAATACTCGTATTCGAAAGGGTATAAAAGAGGCCATTCAGAGCAATATGCAACATGCGGTCGATCTACTCGAACTACCATTTCAACCAGGGAGTGCGCGAATCCAAAAAAATGCAAATATCCCGCGGGTATAATTGATCAGGGTGATGTGCCTTCTTGCACGAGGAATTTAAGGATAACATCTAGCCTCACCAGGTCTACGGTCCAGTATATCGTTACGTTGATCTGTGAACTTGTACAGCCGTTTATATATGCAGAAGAAGTCTTGTAGGGATGTGAGGATCGCGATTTTACAGACATGATATTGGTTTTCCTGTTCGCCTTGGAAATGTAACATTTTCCTACAAACAAATACAACAATTACAACAATTCTCAAGAAATCAATGACTGTACACCAACCGAGGTAAAAACTCCAGGTTCCTGAGCTGGTTCATCCGTGCAAGGTGCGGAGAACTTCGACACTAGAACAAGAGGGCTTTCATTATAGACAAAGCCATCCGCCCCGAATAAAACACGCAGCCATTGAAGTGTGTAGGAGGATGACATCGTTAAAACTATGATAGCTATGATTCGGGGCAGGCACTAATTTTGACCGAGTTAGGTGACGTATACTGCTATTAATGGGTATACATGCCTGTCGATGAATTTTGCATTGTCAGCTTGATGAAAAGACCAATATGCGCATATTAAAACTGATTTCCCGACAGAAAACTGAGATCAGCAGAGCATGAACTGCGTTGTTGACTAATCATCGGTCAGCAAGAGCGCTTTTCGTTGCATTGTTGACACTGCACGAAGTCAATGGTGCCATACATCATTGGTAAACTGCCTAAAAAGCTGTCTCCATTTGTTCTCAAGAGCAGAGGCTGTACGCTGGCGATCTGTGGGGACGCTCTTGTTGTACTCTGTTTCAATTTCCCGCCAGGAGAGGCCGGACAATTTGAGCACCGTTAATAGTTGCTCTTCTTCGTCCGTATACTGTTTATTATGGCCAGGTGCCGGCGTATCATCCATTGTAGTACTGCGCTGTGGTTGGTTCGAGCTAGGGTGTGGTCTACGTCGAGAATCGTGAGCGTTTCGAGAGACAGAAGTGGAAGGTTTGTGTGGGCGCTCGAGGGCGGCTTCACTATTTATGGAACGGAACTTCTTAGATATAAGAGACAGGACGCTTTCCCTCCTCAAGGACCTGTATCGAAATCACAAAGTCAAATATGGATGATCCAATGATGTATGCATTCCTTTGTTGGGGGAATGGAGAATTAAACGAGTTTCCTGATTTTGGTCTTGATCTTTTCGACTACCGCCTCTCCATTCCGGCCCAGTCCCCTATCTCTTCTTTATCTCCGCCTCTTCCTTCCGATTATCCTGGATTTTCTGTCGAAGACCAGCCTAGACCCAATCTTGGTAGCCCAAATGCAGCGCAAACGGCAGCCAGGCGTCTGAGTGCGGCTGTTTGCGATCTGTTGAGCCGTGTTGCCGAGCTCGAGAGCCAGTGAGATATCCTGCTCGGCTACTTGGTGTGATAAGTCGTGCTGATGATCTCTTAGTTTACAATCTGAGTCAAGGTACAGTACAATACTAACCGGGAATTTCGAGGCGAGCGCTAACAGCCAGCTCAGAAAGCAAGTGGATCTTGAGAAATATGTTGACGAATTGCATCCATTTATATGGTACCTTGTTGCACGAATGCATGAATGATTAGGGAAGGAAGACGCAATGGGGCGCAATTCTTTTCTCTTTTTTCACTTGCCTTGATCGAGGTGTCTTAATTGAATGAAAGTTTAATGTGCCTGGTGACAGCCTGCTGGGACGTTGTGGTTCAATTAGAGTCTGATTTAGCTCGTGGATTTGTTGGAGATGACATCAGCTTCAGCCTCTCTCCAAGCCGGGCCACGAGCCGGGGCTCGGGCTAGTCCAAGAATGGCTGCTAGTGGACACTTGCTCACGCGCGGCACTAACTCTCAATGTTATTGGTTCATTGCTTGGTTAACTTTGCTGCGGCAACTTCAACTTTCACTAATATCCAATCGATCGATTCAAGTAATCACAGCGCTAAGTATGCCCTTGGGAAGTCTCGCTGAATCTCCAATTTTCACATGCCCTTAGCAGCCTTTCAGGGATTGATCAGCGCTGTGGCAAAACGTAAGATAAAAGATGAAAGCGAGCTGGCCAGGGAAACTGAGCAGCCGAGGAGCTGGGGGGTTCTGGACTCTCAATCGCCAACTATTAGTAAAGCGTTTTTGAACATTCGTGCTCAAGCGCTTTTCAACAAATCAACAAGAACTCTTTCGAGGTATTCTATGCCTTTTGTGAGGTGCATAAATAATCCTAATCTTCCCAATTTGAAGCTTTCAATGAACAAAATGGCACGCATTTGGGCCAAGCTAACCGCCGACCGGAAATTGTTGTACGTCTTTGTGAGCTACATTATTTACCTAATCTAACAGCGACAGTGTCGGCAGTGTCGACAACGAAGAAGATTTCTATAATGTGGCTGTTCGATTATCTACACGAACAGCGCGCAGCCTAGGGCTACTCAAGGCTGATTTCGTCTGGGTCCGCCACAAGCACATTAGACGTCCATTTCGACTGCTTTACAATGACAAGGTTGACCAAAATACTATTCTTATGAATACGACTGTCCAGAGAAATCTCTCCATCTCTAGTGGGGCGCAGGTTCGCATAAGCCAGGCGAAATTATCCAAGGTACAAGTCTTCTCAGCACTGCGAAATATTTTCTCTCTAATCAATAAAGGTGCACTCAATCACTTTATATCCTTTATCAGATACAGCACAATTAGGCGAGGGGCATTTGCTGTCCGACTACATCCACCCCTACTTTAGCAACAGTTTCCACCCCGTGCATACGGATGATTTTCTCAGCATTGGAGTAGGTCCAGGGGCATTTTGCGTGATTGATATCACTCCCAATGAGTTTGGGCTGGTTACTCCAGAAACGGAAATCATGGTAGTGGCGAGACCTGGAGAGGGAACTTGTGATTACGATTCTATTGATAATCCACTTGAGTGTGCCTCCAAACTACGCAAAAACTTTGACTATCTCAGCTCTAAATGGTGTGCTGAGGCGATGGCTGAATTTGCCAAGGGTCTTCAGAGACTGGTCAATCTACTGGAGGGCCCACCATCATATGAGAATTGTACCGAAGCGGCAAGTCACTCACGATCCAATTCACTAATCCTCGATTCCTTTGTCGGAGGTTTTCGGGTTGGAACGCCCTCGAACTCAAAACTTGATTATAGGTAGAATTATAGTCCAATAGAAGCACTCTTCCATGTCAGTGCAGGTGATGGTATATTCTGGCGCTATGCTAATCCGAATATGGAGCCCCCACGGACTCTCTTGGTAGCTCTTCGTGGAAGTGTGACGGCTCAATCGTAGCTATAAAGCCCAATATGTCCCAGGGCTGAGGAAAGCATTCACGAGACCAAGATGAAATACTTTATGCTTATTCTGCCCTTTGCTCTTTCCTATTCCTGGATTGAGCAACTTTCAGTTGTTGGTCGCGATGGACTTCCGCAGGGCCCACCAGGCTATCCTCGAGGAAATGGCAAGTTAATCCTAGGCTCGAAAATTCTGTGCTGTAGCTAATCAAAGTAGTGATTCGTTCATCACCCGAGTTTAGTGACAGGCTAATGATCTACCTCCTCCCTGACTCTAAGACGCCGGAGTATATATGTGCTCCATCTCAGCGACGACAGGTTCAAACAGAAGGCAGCCCACGCCTCTAAGCAAGGCCAGGTGATCGTGTCGTACTCCAGTATCGGGAAAACGGCCTTATTACTTGGATGTCTCCGGGAAAACTATCGCCAGGGAAGGTCTATATATACGCAACTACGATGCCAACCCCAACCGACTTCCTCCGCGATATTCATAATATGTGGAGTCCGGATGGAAGAGGAGGTGACCAACGAGGATGGCTCTTAGGGGCCTTTGACTTCGATGATGGGATGTGCTTTCAAATAAATGAGAGCCCGTTGTCTTATTATAGGCGGGCTCGCTTTGAGGACACCCCAGGGATTATAGACGAGAACGGTCTATGGTGCAGAAACATGATTTCAATTCCCAGCGATATTAGGGCAACTATTCTTTCGCTATATTGGGTTTGGGACTGGCCAACAAACAAGGGTAGGGTGGATGAGAAGGAGGAGATTTACACTACGTGCATGGACATTGACCTAATTATGGATAATGTTTGTTTTTAGATTCATCTGTGTACCCTCTCCAGGTTGCGCGGGACCGTTATTATCGTGGCCTTTGGGTTCAAGGCATCCGCACTGGGCCTGTATGATCTAGAAATGTAGTGGTCAGTCGCTTCCTTTACTAAAGCAGTGCCGTGGTAATTATTTATTCACTGACATCAAATGCCGAAATCCAGCTCTCACCGGAACCTTTTCTAAATCATAGGATAACCTTCAAGCAATATATCTTCCAAAGATATTTTATATGATTCGAGTAGTCGGGATTCGGACGCGGCGAATTGTTCAGACACATGTCGTAGAGCCTTCTTGAGCCATAGTTCTGATTTGCGAGCTGCACTATAGAGAGATAGAGAGCGGTGGTTGGCGGAACCTTGGAAAAGTCCGGTCTGTAGCGATTCATGGAGTATGCCACAGGCCTCACGAACACACTGGTGTAGCTGCATAAGAGACCTATTAGACTCTTCTTTGTATGCGAGCTCTTGGCGGAGGCGTCCTATCTCTCGCTGAAGATCTTCAATAGTTGGTCGTGGTTCATTCTTCGACTTCTTGAGATACTGCGGGAGACGTTCAAGATTCACTGTCTTATGACCATGCTGGGAGACAACGTGATCTAAAAGGGTAGGCTCTCCACTCATGGTAGTATCAAGCTTAGAGAAGGGATTTTTATTGCATGTAGATTTCCACATAGAATGTGAGTAGGAC